CTAAAGTAGAAGGTAAGGTAAATATCCCAATCTGATCCTCTTTGCACTCTAGTAAGCAGGTGCCTTTTCTTCTTGAGGATCATTTGCTTTAAAGCACTCAGAAGTGAGCTGCTAACTTTGGCAGTAATGGTAAAGAATGACAATTCATTTGTTCCTTCTTACAAAATGAGGGCTCCAGGTATGCAGAGATGGCAGACCTAGGACATTAACTAGACCTGTCTATATTCTTCTCCAACTTCCTCATCTTTCCATCCTGAAGACCACTTCGGCTGTTGTGCATCAGGGAGCTCTAAGGATTCCTGCATTAATTACAAAAATGATCATCAAAATGTTGAAATGGAAGGTAGCATTTAAAACATAACACAGGTTTCCTTAAAATGTAATACTGGTTTTCTTATAGCATGTATAGACACAATATGAGAAAACTGCCCCCACTCCCAGTCACACAGCCACCAAGGCTCCTCACATGTGCACACGTACCCAGAGGAGGCCAGCTGGCTTTGCCAAAAAGCACAGGGGATAGACTGCTTCGGGTGATTCTTGGTTTTTGAGCTGGTTGGAGAGCCAGTCAAGACCTTCATAAAGCCCATCTTCATTAGCAGCACAAGTAGCCTGAACATTCCAGTTTGTTTGTTGGGGGGAGTGTACACTGAGCTTGTCTGGGATCTCTGCTGCATTCATGGCATTGGGAAGATCCTGTTCATTTGCAAACACCAATAAAACTGCATCTTTGAGTTCATCTTCTGTTAATACTCTGGTTAGTTCTTTCTAGGCCTCATTGACCATCTCTGTTATTATTGTCAACCACAAAAATCAGACCTTGAGGGTTGGGGGGGACATGGGACAAACGGAGGAACTTTGATTTGGCAAAGGGGAGGGGAGGGAAGGGAGGGGCCATGGGGGCAGAAATGATGGTGAATGAGATGGACATCTTACCCTAGATACACGTATGACTGCACATATGGTGAGATGCTACATCGTGTACAACCAGAGAAATGAAAAGTTGTGCTGCAATTATGTACAATGAATTAAAATGAATTCTGCATTTAAAATTTAAAAATTAATTAATTAAAAATATCAGACCTTGGATGCTCTAGAAATAATGTCATCACCAAGTTCTGATTTTGTCCTGGCTACCAATATTCCAGACTGTAAGCTGTGATTTTTTTTTTTATTCTATTGTCTTCACATTGAAGCCTATTGTAGGGATGGTAGTCACAATCTCTTCCAGCTTCACTTTATACAAGATGGTGGTTTTACCAGCCACATCCAAACCCACCATAAGAATTCATATCTCTTTGTTTCCCAAATAGATTTTTAAACAGCCATTTAAAAATGTTTCCCATTGTAATTTAATTGTATAACCTGTCACTGCTTAGAATTCATTTTTTTTAAGAGAGAGAGAATTTTTAATATTTATTTTTTAGTTTTCGGCGGACACAACATCTTTGTTTGTATGTGGTGCTGAGGATCGAACCCAGGCTGCACGCATGCCAGGCGAGCACGCTACCACTTGAGCCACATCCCCAGCCCTAGAATTCATTTCTTTATTGCTACTGATCTTGTGCTCTTTCTACTTTGTTTTCTAAGTATTGGAAAATCATTTTTATGTGGCTCTAGAAATTTCTAATAAACTTTAATATTAACTGTTAAAACAAATTCTCTCTTTGGGTAACTGGATAACCAGTGGCTATCCAATAATTGTGAAAGTTGGTGGGCTTTGAGGTCTCCTTATGGACCATCACAGGAATTTGAGTGGAGGGCAGATGTGGAAAACATTAATTGCCAAATCTCTGGAGGTGTGAGGGAGTGGAAGTAATATTTAGGGTTTAAACCAGCCTCATAGCCTTAGAGAACTTCAGGCTTCTGCAGCTCCTAAGAAAAGTCTTATCAAACCAGAAGCTCTTGAAAAGAAGATCTTTAATCCCTGGGGAGTTGAGAATCAAGATAGTACTTCAAAGGGTTGTGGGACTGGAAGCCCTCCTGGATCAAGGAGAATTCAGAAAAAACTTATTCTGAGCCCTGGGTGTTTGTTTTGTTCATTCAGCTGCTCTGTGGTTTACTGACTTTCTCTCTCCCTCTCCCTCTTCCTTTTCTTTCCCTCTCCCTCTCCTTTTCCCTCTCTTTCTTTCTTGTTTAATACTTGGGATCAAATCCAGGACCTTGATCATATCCAGCAAGCATTCTACCACTGAGCTACACCCCCATCACTTTTTCAATTTTACTTTGAGACAGGGTCTCACTAAGTTGCCCAGTCTGGCCTTGAACTTACTTAGCCTCCCAAGTAGCTGGAATTATAGGTGTGTATCACTGCACTCAGCTAAAAATAGATTTGTAAATTAATTGCCTCCCAAATATTTCCTCTTTGAATATTATGTATTGAAGCTTCTTGGAATAGGTAATCCTTTTGGTACAGCCTGTTTACCTCTATGCTGCCTCATTCCTAGACAGACATTCCTATTTTCTGTGTTCCTTAAAGCTTTAGGAATTTGTGGTAATAGTGTCATTCATGTATCTGACATCTTATACTCAAAAAGAAAATCACCATGGACACATTATTTTAACTACAATATATATGATTTTCTTTCTTTCTTTTGTTCTTTTTTGTGTGTGTGTGTGTGTGTGTGTGTATGTGTGTGTGTTTTGGGGATTGAACCCAGGGCTTTGTGCATGCCAGGTAAGCACTCTACCAACTGAGCTATAGCCCCAGCCCAGCTAACTACAATATATCCAAAAGAGAAAATTACACATTAATCTTCACAGTTGGTTCATTCATCATTTAGCGAATATTTATTGTGTGTCCATATACCAGAGGGATTCTTAGATGCTGATCATACCAACCCAAAAGGAACAATCTCTGTCCTTAAGTAGCTTATTTGCTGGTGGATGGATGGACAGATGAAAAGTTGTGCTGCAATTGTGTACAATGAATTAAAATGCATTCTGCTGTCATATATACCTAATTAAAATTTAAAAAATTAATTAATTAAAAAAATCAGACCTTGGATGTTCTGGAAATAATATCAACACAAAGTTCTGATTTTGTCCTGGCTATATGATTTTGTCCACATTTATATGAAGGGTACCTAACTCAGGATTTATGAATGAAGGGTGCTCTTTAAGGGACACATCTAGGAGTAGATGTTATCTTTGATGAATTCCCTAGGAGCTAGTCAGATGAAACAGTATCCAGGTAGAGAGAAGAGTAAACAAAAACAAGAGTAGGAAAGGGTAAGGTTTAGATGTGGCTGGAGCTTGGGGTAATAGGGCAAAGGGGAGCATAGTGAGTTGTGGTTGGAGAGGAAAACAGTTCTAATCATCAAGGACCTCCTCTTATGTTGGATTTCTCTTGAAATATATGGAAAACCCTTGAAGGGTTTAAGTTAGAGAATAATTAAAACACATATTGTGTTTAGAAAAATGATTTTAGGGCTGGGGATGTAGCTCAGAGGTAGTGCTTATCTAGCATATGGGAACTCTGGGTTCCATCCCATTATTCCCCACCCCCACCAAAAAATAAAAAGGGGGGGAAGATGATTTTAGCAACTGTGGAGAATAGTTTGGAGGGTAGTTAAGACAGGATCAGGAAGACTGGATATCCATTTTTTTGCTATAGCAGTCATGTTGGAAAAAAGATGTTAAAGTGGGTAAATTCAGCAGGATTTGGCAACTTGGGAGAAGGGAACAGGGACAGGTATGGAGAGAGATGAGTTCAAGATGATTCCCAGGCTTCTGGTTGCTTGGACATATCAATACTTTTCTTTAATAGACAAAGGGGATACAAAAAGCAAGGGAAATAATGATTCATTCTTTAACATTGTTAAAGTTGCAACGTGTCTGAGATTTCCACACTGCCAGTGACTGGTTAGCTTTGGATTCAAAGGGCCTTTAAAGCTCAGGGAGAGAGTCTAGCTGGAAAGAAAGATTTGGGTTTGTGGAACTTACGTGTTCATTTGAAAACTATACAAAAAGTCCATTAAATATTTTCTTATGTAATTATAAACATGTAAGTTCCAGTCATTTTATCGAGAGAATAATGTGAATTAAAGCTTTTTTTTTTTTTTTTTTTTTTTTTTTTTTTTGCAGTGCTAGGAATTGAACCTAGGGTCCCACACACATGCTAGACAGGCATCCTACCACTGAATCACACCCCTAGTCCTGGAGATATGTTCTCTACATTCTCACTAATTTAAAATCTCAGCAATAGATGGTGACAGTTAAGTGTGAGAAAGTTTACCATAAAAATGAATGGAGTTGTTATTTAAAACAGTAATCATGGGAAGAAACTACAACTTTAATATGCATTCTAAATCTGGCACATAAACCAGTTTTCATTGATAAATGACTATGATTGACAGTGAAAGAAGAAACAGGAGAGCACAGACTCTGTAAGTATGAGTAGTTTCTACCCCATAGTATTGACCTGAAACGAGGATTAAGTGGGTTAATATTTGTAAATTTCTTAGTGGAATGCCTGCATATGACATAAGTGTTAAATAAGTAAATTCAAACTGTGCTTTCTTGCCTTTTAAGAAGTGTTGCTGATGCCCAGTGAGAGTCAGGAGTCTCTGTCCCAGTTGTGTTAGTCTTTCACTGATGAACAACTGAATGCTGAATCTTCAAGCAAAATTCAGAAGATTACTATAGCTGATAAGAATAATATAAAATAGATTATTCTTACTCATAGTATTTTTTTGAATTATTTATCATTACTACTGAATTCTATGTAAAAACACTGTATTTTTTTTATTCTGACCCTTTAAATAAATTACAAGACCTTATATATGTTATCAGGGATAGAACATCTTAAATCATAATTGACTTTGTGATCATCCTGTTTTATCAGTTTTGTCAACACATCAAACCCATTTTGCCTTTGAGCTTAGATGATGGTTGGCATACTCTTCAGTCCTTCCCCTTTCCACACCCTCCAATTTTTTCATGGGGTGCGTCTGCTGGAGAGACTGAAGATCTCAACTTTAATGTCATTTCTCCCCCAGGTTGCCTCCTGCTCCCATCTTCCTCACAGCTTGGGTTGGACGCTCTGTGGTATGTTTGCAGGGTGCCTTCTACTTCTACAGTTGAATGCCTCGTATATTTTGGGGATTATTTCTCACAACTCCTTTGTGAGTTCCTTGATGTTAAGGACAATTGTTTACAATACTTTGTATATTCTTTTTTTACAATTTTTTTGTAGTTGTAGATGGACAGAATACCTTTATTTTATCTGTTCATTTTTTATGTGGTGCTAAGAATCAAATCCAGTGCCTCATACATGCTAGATAAGTGCTCTGACACTGAGCCACAAACCCATCCCTATATATTTTTAATATATGTTTCTTGAATGAATTATTCATTCCATAGTAATTCTAAATTAAAAGTTAAAAAAATCTATGTATTTTTTCAAGGAAGATATACAAATGGCAATAAACATATGAAAAGATGCTCAATAGTCGGGGAAATGCAAATCAAAATCATATGAGGTAGTATGTGGGCCTATAGTCCCAGTTGTCCAGAAGGCTGAGGCTGAAGAATTATGAATTAAAGGCCAGTCTTGGCAACACAGGAAGATTCTATTAATTTAAAAGAATAGGAGGCTGGGAGTGTAGCTTAGTGGTAGAGTACTTGACTAGCACCAGGTTTAATACCTGGCACTATAAAAATAAATAAATAAACTTAAATAAAATAAAAAACCACAATGAGATACCAGTGAATGTTCACTGGGATGGAGTTATAGAAAAACCAAACTAAACCAAAAAATAAAAGTTGATGAGGATTTGAAGAAATTGGAATTTTGGTGCCTTGCTTTGCTGGTGAAAACGTAAAAATCACTATAGAAAACAATTTGGCATTCCTCAAAAAGCAAACCTAGAATTATCTTATGATCCCATGAAATAAGCCAGACAAAAAGGGACAAATACTGTATGATTCCATTTAAATGAAGTACTTAGAATAGGAAAATATCAGAGACAGAAAAAAAAAAATAGAGGGTACCAGAGGCTGAGGGGAAGGAAAATGGAGAGTTATTGTTTAATGGGGTGTAGAGTTTCTGTTAGGAATGAAAAAATGTTCTGGAAATAGATATTGGTGATGGTTGTACCACATTGTGAAAAGTACTTAATGCCACTAAGTTTACACTTAAAAATGGTTAAATAATAACCTTTGTTATTTGTATGTTTTACAACAATAAAGAAATAAATTGGAAAAGTTTAAACAAAATAAAGCAGGTAAGAGGCAACAATAAATCTTTTCTGTTTTTCCCTTTATTTATTTTTTTGGTACCAGAGATTGAACCTCCAAGGGTACTTAAACCTAAACCATATCCCCAGTCTTATTTTTATATTTTATTTTGAGACAGAATCCCACCAACTTACCTAGGCCTTGCCAAGTTACTGAGGCTGGCTTTGAACTTGCAATCCTCTTGCCCCTGCCTCCTGGATTACAGGCATGAGCCACAGTACCAGGCTCCTTTTATTTTTAAGATGGGCTCTTTGAATATTGCCCAGGCTGGCCTTAGGCTCTCAGGCTCAAGCAATTCTCCTGTTTCAGCCTCATGAGCAGCTGGGACTGAAGGTACACTATCTTCCCCAGCTCAAGAAATCTTTGCTATGACTTAAGTAGACCAAAAGCCCAGTTTGCACATATTTTTAAAAATATTAAAAATGTTTATCACAAAGGTACTTTTCAAGGTTAATATGGTACAATTGGGAAGACTCAAAGAACTATTCAAAGATATTTGTCTTTAAAGGATCAAAGTTGAGATGTTAAATGTTTTTATAAAACAGCAGATTGAGGTAAAATATGTATAAATTATATCCATGTAATGTAAGAATGAATAGGTTATTTTTTGTCATTGAAAATGGTTAACATTTTCTTCCTTATGATTTCTATATGCCATTGGAAGCAAAATCAAGGTTATTTAGACTATATTATATTAAAAGGAATTAAAGAGTTATTATTTCTTTGAGTTATATTGTAATCTCCACTAGATTATTAGTTTCTTGACATTAAGTGCTGCCTATATATTTCTGTTTCTTGTCACTTGGCTAAACCTGACATATTTTTTGAGTGAATAACTATGAAAACAGCAAGGTTATTTGATTTTTGGTGTTTTGTATAACTAAATTGCAATGTAAGTATTAGAAGTAATGTTCCTAATATGGCTTTAAAAGAACAACAACAGGGGCTGGGGCTGTAGCTCAGTGATAGAGTGCCTGCCTCATATATATGAGGAACTGAGTTCAATCCTCAGCACCATATAAAAATAAAGATATTAAAAAATAAAAATAAATAAATAAAAGAACAACAACCACAAAAAAATAGAATAGGAACTCAAAGTGACAATGTGTGTACGCATGCACGTTTGTGTGTGTGTGTGTGTGTGTGTGTGTGTGTGTGTGTGTGTGTGTGTATGGGGGGATTTAAAGATTATCTTTAGGTTAAATTCCAAAAATTTTTTCACATCAGTTTGTTTTTATAGAGTAGGCAGAATTATCTTATAGATACTTGAATCTTGAATGAATTTTGGTCTTATTTTTATTTTTTGCAGTGCTGAGGATTAAACCTAACTCATAGATGCTAGGCAAGCTCAGTGATATTACACCCAAATTCTTCTTTTTTTTAGTTGTTGGTGGACCTTTATTTTATTCATTTATTTATATGTGGTGCTGAGAATCAAACCCAGTGCCTCACATATGCTAGGCAAGCGCTCTACCACTGAGCTACAACCCAGCCCCCAAACCTCTGAATTCTTATTTTTAATATTGGATATATTGTTAGTATATATATTGGGATCTTCAGTGGAGATTCTAAAGATGTCATTAGCTTCTCACTAAGGGCCTTATCTGATATTATAGCAACTATTGAGGTTTCTGTTATTTATGGACTTTAAATTTTTATGCATGCACTTATTGAGGACTGGATTCCTAATGGACAGCCAGGTAAGGAAAAATTTCTTTATATGTTGCTGTTTTATTCTTTTTTCATTTAGTCATCATTTTTATGCAGTTCCTTTTGTATTTTTATCTGTATTTTTAGGACAAATCTATAATTAGAATAACAGTTTCCATCCTCAATTTGTGTAAGAGGTAAGAACATGTCCCTTTAGAGAAAGAAAAGCACCTGGGGACTGACAAGTATGAAGCACTACGAGGCCATTGAAACTAGACATTTGGAGTAGTATTTTTGAGAATTTATTTTTTTCTCCAATAAAAATGACCTGATTCAAGGTCATTTATTTATTTATTTTTCTGTGCCGAAGACTGAATCCATACTAGACAACTGTTCTACCACTCAACTATACTCTCAGCCTCAAGGTCAATTATTGAATAATATCATTCAAACAAAAATATTGCAAACCAACACATTAGCTTTTATTTTTTTATAAGTTTAAAGATTCAAAATTTTTTCAGAATTTACATTTTGCTTCCATTTAAACTAAGGAATATAGAGCAGAAGTATTGAAAAGAAGCCTAACTTTGATAACTGGATATAGGATGAGAAGGTAAAGAATTATGATTTGTTTTATTTTATGAGCCAGATGTAGTAGAGAATGGAGAAAATGTGTGAAGAAAGATTCTTTTGGTTATATGGACTGGTGAAATACCATTTTAGGGGACAAAATATTTTCTTCTAAATTGTAAACTGAAAATTTCCAAAGTTGGGAGACTTATAATAAATTACCTAAATACTATAATAAACACTGATAATTGACTATTATAACCCCAGATAAATTAATTAATTCTTTATATTCTTAACAGTTCAAAGTTTTTGAGATTTCAGGACACAATACAATATGAATAACCCAGTATAAATTGATTTCAAAATTATATTTCAAAATACAATAAACCACTGCCTTCACATAAATGTATCAAGTGGGAAAACAAAACAAAATACAGAAACATCAGAATCATCTAAGGAAAATAACATGAAACATAATTGTGATTTTTAAAAATCTTTATTTATTTATTTATTTTTATGTGGTGCTGAGGATCAAACCCAGTGCCTTAAACATGCGAGGCAAGCACTCTATCACTGAGCAACAACCCCAGCCCAATTGTGATTCTTTTAATATTTTTTTTGCCTCATTAGTGCATTCATTATGAAACTTTAAATATGTTTATGAATTTAGCTTTTCTCTTTAGAGTGTTGACCTTTTTTAATTGAAAGGGTATATGTTCATTATATAAAAAAAAGGATATGAATGACAACAAAAACAACTCCAAAATGAGCAAAGGTGTTGAATTGTATTTCTCCAACAAAGACATACAAATGGCCAAGAATCACACAAAAGGAAATTCAGCAGCATTTCTGGGGAAATGCAAATCAAAACCACAGTGAGATATCACTTAACACACATTAGGATAAGTATTATTTTTTTAAATCGAAAATAACAGTTGTTGGTGAGGATGCAGAACAATTGAACCCCTGGTATTTTGCTGGTGGAAAAGTAAATGGTGCAGCCACGGTAGAAAAGAGTTTGGTGGTTGTTAGGTGGAGATGGTTATATGAATTACAAATGTATGAATCATACATTTAAAAAGGGTCAATATGGTGATTTTATGTAATTATATTTTACCATGTAAGACTGCAACAAAAAGTAATAAAGCAAATTGTTTTACACTTAACTTTCCAGAAATAACTTGTGTCAACATTTGGTAGTTATTCTGATACATAATTCAGTTTTAAAGTTTTTGTTGTGAGATTGAGATTTTAGAAACTCTATTTAAAAGAAATAGATAATACTATAAGCAATATTCATGAGCATTAGGTTAATTTACTGTGAGCTATGACCCCTGTGTGAACAGGAGCCCTCCTACCCAGAGTTAACCAACCTTCAAGGGATCCAGACTTCAATGGTGGCCTTATAGAAGATGATCTAATGTGGCCAACTTGGATATAAAAATGATGACCAATGAAACTAGAAACTAGTAAAAGCCAGAGATCGCATCTTAAATTTATTGGTGATAAATGTAGTTGTTTTCTGCTCATGTTATTTGGTAGTACTATTTCTTTAATTGTGGTCTGATCTTAGGTGTTATAGTTTTTATAAATGTTTCTTTCTATTCTATTCAGTGTTTCTGGATAGAACACAAAAAAGTATATTGGTGATTTTACTTTTATGTATTAATGGGATATATTTTTAAAGAAAAGATGTAATGACATCAAGTTTAATAAACTGGTATAAATTAAGTAAAGTTTAGAAGATCAAGGGCACTTTGTTTCAGTTAGAATTCTGTCATTACCTTTCTTAGTCTCAAACAGCATCATTAAAGCAGAAAATTGTAATAGACTATTTTTCAGGCTTTATAACAAGGCAAGGTTGATATAAAGAGTTGGAATAGCCAGAAAAATAACCAAAATGCAATTATTATTGATCTCCTTCTCCCCTTAATTTTCAATACACATTATTTATTTAATAATGACTATAAAGAATGTTTAAATTCTAGCCTTGCACTACCATTTACTAGTTGTGTGACAATTTACTGCTCTCAGCTTTAATTTCCTATCCTATCAGTAAAACAGACATAATAATAGGGCCTACTCCATAGGATTGTTATGAGGGTTAAGTGAATTAATATGGAAAAAAGTCCTTAGAACAATGTATGCATATAATAAGTGCTGGATAGCTATAAGCTATTTTCATTATGGTTGTGAAAGCAATGTATTCAATCCTAGGGTGAATGTTATGAAGGCTGATAATATATTATGCTTATCTAAAGGAATTTACTTGGAGGTAGTACTCTTCATGAGTACAAGGTCCAAGCAAAATGGCCCTTCCAGCTGCCCATGTTCTGAGATAGATCCTGATAAAATTTCTGTAATAAAATATAAATTAAGTTGGAATAAGAGAAAAGACTAAATGGAGGGCTTCATTGAGAATAAAGGACTTGGGGACTTCCCCCTCCTATTCCCTGCCTATGAGGTACTAGGCATTATACCATATACAACTTAGTCTGTAGTCCTCATGACAACCCTATCAGGTCTCATAGCTATTTATGAGTTGAATCAGATTTTCATTTTTTAAAAAATGTTTTCATTGGTGCATTATAGTTGTACATAATAGTGAGGTTCATTTTTACATAATCATAAATTCACGGGACAGTTTGCTCTTTCTTAGTCCCCAGTACTTCCCCTTTCCCTTCTCTCCTCCCTCCTCCTGTCCCCTTGCTTTACTCTAGCAGTCTTCTATTTATTTATTATTTTCTTAACTGGTACATTATAGTTGTACATAGAAGTGGAATTCATTATGATGTATTCATACATGCATATAGCATAATTTGCTCAATTTCATTACACAGTTATTCCTCTTACCCACCCCGCTTCACCTCAATCCCCTTCCTCTGCTGTACATATTTTGTTTTGAGATTCAGACTCTCACTCCAAAGCCTTTCTTATTTCCATGCTGTGCTGCTGCTTAATAATTATAGTTTGTATGATTTTGTGTCTTGGCAGGCCAGATAATTCTAAATATCCCATTAACTTTTAGTGGATAATTTTTTTTTGTTTCCACTGATTTTTACCCTTGATTCTCTTGTCTGCATATGTGTTATGTTAGCTTTCTGTCACTATGAAAAACACTTAATAAAAATCAACATAAAGGAAGAAAGATTTATTTTGGCTCACAGTTTAGAGGTTTCAGTGCATGATTACTTGGCTGCAGTTTCTGGGCTGTGGTAGGGCAGAACATCATGGCAGGGAGCAAAACTGCTCAATTCATGGCAGCCAGGAAGGAGAAAGGGAGGGAGGGAGGGTGGGAGACAGGAGCTGAGGAAAGGGACACAAGAGACTCACTTCAAGGACATGCCCTCAGGGATCTGCCCAAATCCTAGTCTCCACCACCTCCCAGCAGTGCTGTGCTAGCTGCAGACCCAACTCTAACCCAGGAGCCTCTGGGGGCCATTCCAGAGCCATATATATATATGTACTAAATTGTGTTTGCTTTTTAATTTAAATTTTGCTGATTCTGTGTTTCATAATTTAACTCAGGTGTAATGTCTTTGCTGAGGCCTCTTCTTCTGGATGTGGTCCCAACAATTCAACAGACTGCTGCTTTGGCTCTTGGGAGACTGGCCAATTATAATGATGACTTAGCAGAAGCAGTTGTGAAGGGCGACATTCTTCCACAGCTTGTTTATTCACTGGCAGAACAGAATGTAAGATTTAAAAAGAAATAATTTATATGCATTTTGTTTTAGGGTTTAAAAATTTTGGTAGAGTGGGCAGAGTTGTGCATTTATAGGTGTTTGAATTATTTGGGCATTAATACAACCTAAAATTCTCGGAATTGCACATAATAATATCTTTAGCATATTTAGCTCTGGAGCTGATAAACAGCTTTTCTCCATTAAGTTAATATAAGGAGACAATGATTTAGTTCTTTTATTTTAGGGAATCACACATAAAGCAATCACATTATGTCAAGTGAAAGGCCACATATAGTATGATCCCATTTATATGAAATATCCAGAATATGCAAATCCATAGAGACAGACGCATATTGGTGGTTGCTAGGGACTGGGTGAAGAATGGGAATAGGGAGTGGCTGCTTAATTTATAAGGGGTTTCTTGTAGGGGTATTGAAAATATTCTGGAAATAGATAGTGGTGATGGTTGTACGACATACATTATGAATGCATTAAATATCACCACATTTTATATTTCAAAATAATTAAAATGGCAAATTTTACAATACATATATTTTATCAGAATTTGAAAGTTCAAATTGTGCAAAAATTTTGATTTTTTTTTTTTTTGGTGCTAGGGATTGAATCCAGGACCTCATAAATGCTGGGCGAGTGCTCCATTACTAAGCTACATGCTTAGCCCTTGTTTTTTGTTATGGTTGTTAGTTTGCTTTTGTTTTTAATAGATTTGAGAGTCATTTACTAATGCCCTCACAAGAAATCACAGAAACTTAATTTTCTACTGGGTGTAGTGGCACATGCCTGTAATCCCAGTGGCTTGGGAGGCTGAGACAGGAGGATCTCGAGTTCAAAGCCAGCCTTAGCAACTTAGCAAGGTACTAAGCAACGCAATGAGACTCTGTCTCTAAATAAAATACAAAACAAGGCTGGGTATGTGGCTCAGTGGTTGAGTGCCCCTGAGTTCAATTCCCAGTATCAAAAAAAAAAAGGAAAGGAAAGGGCTGGGGATGTGGCTCAAGCGGTAGCGCGCTCGCCTGGCATGCGTGCGGCCTGGGTTCGATCCTCAGCACCACATACAATCAAAGATGTTGTGTCCACCAAAAACTAAAAAAATATATTAAAAAAAAATTCTCTCTCTCTCTCTCTGTCTCTCTCATTCTCTCTTTAAAAAAAAAAAAAAGGAAGAAACTTAATTTTTATTTTGAATGTTTCTTTCTCATCAAATAGAGTTTCTTCCTCCTTGATTCTATTCTTTCCTTTAAGGTTAGGGGTCTGTGTTTCTATATCCCACATAGAAGTTTCTCAGTAGAAATTTTCTAAGAATGAATGAATGTCTTTTAGGTGTAAAGAGACAGAAAATACTAGGCATAAAAGTGAGGAAGCAGTGGGAATCAAAGCATTATTCATTCATATGCTTCTGTCTCTTTCACCTATCAGTCTTGAAGTCATTTCTCAAAGGATATTTAATCTCCATTTTATGAAGCACAAAGTCCTGTGTGTTCTTTCTCTCTCTCTTTCTCTTTTAAAGCCAATTCATTTGGTAAGGAATAGGAAAGAGGAACACTAGGAATTTTCATGAAGTAAAAAGAAGAGAGAATTAGACTAGAACATATGAATTATAGGCACTGCATTAATAATAATTATTGATACCTGTAAATTACCTGTGAATTGATGATTCAGCAGAGTCAAAAGTCAAATTAGTTTAAGTTAACGACAAGAAATATATCATTATTTCCCATGATTATAAGAAAATGATCTATAGAAACCTACTTTAAAATTCTACCCTAATATTTATAATAAAGTAGTAAAAATTGGGTTACTGCCATAACTTAAGAAACTAAATATTGAAATATCGGTACTAACAATATATTTCTTATATTCATAGTATATGTTAATTGCATAGATGTAATCTGTTAATATATACTTAATGTGTTTTCTTTCCTGCCTATAATTTGTATTATATCAGTATTTTAGCCTAAGAGAAGGCTTTCAGAGAAGGTGCTGTAATCACCCAGTCCCTTTTTAGCAGTCATTTAAGGAAACAGAAACTATAGAATATAAAGTAGGAGAATAATTGTGTTTTGTTTTGTTTTGCAGCATTGGGGATTGAACCCAGGGTCTTGTACATGGTAGGCAAGCACTTTACCACTGAGCTACATCCCCAACTACTTAATTGGGTTTTATTAGTAAAAGAATTATGACAACATCATTGTATCATTTTTTAACCATAAAACAAGAGAGTTATAGTCAAATATTTTTATACATTGAATTGTTTTAGTAATATGAAGAGAAACATGTTAGTTTTATATTTTAGTTTCAGTCTCTTATTCTTAATTAGATAAATTTATACAGGAAATATAAACATGAAGCAATATTTAAAAGTCACATAATGACAATTAGCTTTTATCTTTAAGAAAACATTTCTAGAGGGGACAAATAACTAATATTCCATTCTTTAACTTATTATTTGTGAGGAGAAGTTTGAAAATAGATCATGAATTATTTTTCTGTTTGTTGATTGGTAAGTGCATCTTGGAATATGGTTGTTATTTCAGGGTAACTTGGGACACCAGAAGGACTAGCGGAGGTTATAAAGGCTGGCCTTTCTTAGAGACTGAGGAGAAGTAAAGGAAATGAGTTAGTTGGTTTAGTAACTCATGCTAACAATCTAAAAGCTCCCTTGGGTCACACAGTGCCTTTCAGTGTAATGCAGACACACAAAATCTCATTGTTTTATGAACTTGCAGAGAGCACAATTTTATATTTTATTTTGTACAATTTCCAATTATATGTTTTAGAGTAAAAGATATGAAATATAATGTAAGATTTACCTTGTTTTTAGTTTAGTTACCGAACAGAAACAATGATGGAACATCAAATAATCAAAATGATTTTGCAGCTTTTTCGTCTTTTGTTACTTATATTAATATTTTTTATATCACTTTATGACTACCATAGACTTTGGATATGTAAGTTTTCAATTCCTTGGTTTGGTCTTTTTTGCCCTGGTAGCGATTCTACAAGAAGGCAGCGGCCTTTGTGTTGCGGGCAGTTGGTAAACATTCCCCTCAGCTGGCTCAGGCCATTGTGGACTGCGGAGCACTGGATACACTGGTGATATGCCTGGAAGATTTCGACCCTGGAGTCAAAGAGGCTGCAGCCTGGGCACTTGGATATATTGCAAGACATAATGCAGGTATAGAGCTTAAATAGGATGATTCATTTAGGTTCATTAGGTAAATCTGGTTTTTCTTAGTAAACTATAGATGGGGGCTTTAAGGACATTTCTATATCATCGGTTTTGAAGGATAGCCAAGTTGTTTGGATCACATTCTCACAAAGTACTATATATTTCCATCTTTAGCAGAATTTGAAGTGGGGAGGAGAAAGGTGAGACGGGCGGCAGGGTGTGAGGAGTGGAGTTGATTCTCAAAGGCCTTGGTAAATAGGTTCAGTTACAAAGATTATGGTGGTTTGTCACCCTCAAGGAGTCATTGGTTTTCACCTTCATTCACGACAGAGCATTCCAAATCAGCCAGGAGCTATCTCACTTGAGTGAGTGATGTGAAAAAGATATGGACATAACTTTCTATACTATGTTTGTATTCTGCTCATGTTGGGCAGGAAGGAGGAAGTTGAGAAGGAGGGGCATCTTCTTTTATAAACTGGTATCTCTTGGGAGAAGGTTGTTCTGATACAACTGATTGATACGAAATACATAGGGAACAGATTTGCCCCACTACTTTATAGAAGTTGCTTATGAACAAATAACATAAGAAGAAAATACATTTTCAACAAACATAAATTAAAACCATCAATTTAGCTAATAATAAAAAATGCATCAATAAACTATCTTTTTCCATCTACTATTATTGGGAGGGTCAGGGGAGTAAAGTAGAATGCAGTTAAGGAGTTAAGAGTACTATGGCAATAGATAGGTTTTGAGTTTGAGTCCAACTATTACCACTTAGGTGCTTTGTGACCTTGGACATAGCTTTTAAACTTTCTGAACCTTAACTTCCTCATCTGCAAAAGGGTAACCAATAATAATTGCTCCAGAGATTTGTTGTGAGGATGATGAAATAATACTGTAAAGTGCTTAGACCAGCTCTTGGCAAGTGGCAAATACTCAGTCAATGTAAAATATTCATATTAACATGAAGATTGGAGAGGACATTATAGCATTTATGAAATTTAGCTGGGTGCCACAACCCCAGCTCCTTGGGAGAGGTTGCAAGTTCTAGGCCACTCTGGACATTTTAATGAGAACTTGTCTCAAAGTAAAATAATAAAATAATGTTTATGACATTGGAAGAGGAACTACAAATTGTATAATCTCATGGAAAGCAGTTTGACAGAACAAATCTAAGTCATGAAAAAGCTCATGCTTACCCTGAAAAGCCTGCTTTGGAAATTCGTCCTCAGGATGGAATTCCACAGAATGAAACAGTGTATTCATGAAAACATTATTGTAACATTATTTGTAATATCAAAACACCTCAAACATTTGACAGAAATTTATTGTTAAATTATAGTAATCTACTTAATGGAATCTCATGCAACAAAGTACAAAAGTAATTATGATCCCTATATGGTAACACAGAGAAGTGATTATAATGTTGAAAAGAATAAAATCATATTTTACAATTATAATATAAAAATAAAATTTTGTGTGGATATAAATTACAAAGAAATAAAAGATTGTATTACTAACATGGTGAGATTAAAGATGGTCTTTCTTTCAGATTTTTGAATGTTTGTGTATGTAATAAAATAATAGCCATTATCTATTGAGTAATTACTCTGTGCCTGGCTATAAAATTCAGAAACATAATCTCATTTTGATCACAGCTACCCTTGGGTAGGCATCACTCTCACATCATGTAGAGAGGATGCCTGAACTTACATGAACGGTGGAATCAGAATTTGGGTCTACTTCTGTGTGACTTCCAAGCCATGTTAACTACTATACCCTACAGCTGCACTAAATACTTCCTGAAAGAACATCGAAGAAAAAACTTACAGAAATAGGAAGAGGCTCTCTGAAATTATATTTAATTTGGTTCTTATAATGGTGGGTACTACTAGAGACAAAATAAAAATAAAAAGTAGAAAACTAAGTTGAGAAAGAAAACTATTTTTATGCTAGAATGATTCAGAATTAACATATTAAAATTCTTCCTTTTAATATCTAAAGTTTGTTTTTCCAAGTAGTTTTACCTTAGACTGTTTTTTAGTACATGTTTAATGAGAAAACCAGCTTCTGATTTAAAACACTGCCTTAAGTTATTACAGGAAACTACATAAGTGGATTTAGTAAGTTTTTTGATATGTCAGAGGGACATGTTATAGATTGTGACATAAGTATTTCAGAATGGTTCAAAAGAGCTTTGAGGGACAGCTGTGCAGATACACTGTCAGGCAGGTGCCCAGAGATAACCTTTTCATCCCTCTCTTTTGTTGAGTCTGGGTGAAATGATTATAGTTCATAAATAGGATCTGTCTTAGGGATCCCATTCCAATTTCTTGCTATAATCTGACTCCCACATGGAATTCCCACTGTAATTTCAATATTTCACAGTAGTTAGGGGCCTGGGACTCAGAAACTCCCCAAAGAGATTACTGCATAGATTTCTCAGAAAAAAGGGAATTACTATCTAGTAAGCTATAGAAGAAGTCATCATTCGCATCCAAATCAGTGAAAATAGAGGATTTTCCTCCACTAATGTGATTTATTTCTCAATGATTTCCTGAAACTGGAAAAGATTGAGATTAATGTGAGAACATTAACTCAGTGTTTTCTTCTTAGTATTAGTAGTAAAATATTTGATTAGACAATTTAAGATCATAAATATTTAGATCTTAAATGGAGATGCAAAATAAGTCAAACTATATCTTATTTAAGGGCAAAAGAAGGAAAAAGTATACATATAGGAAACAAAAATATATATGTACAGTAGAAGAAGAAAGAAACACTGGGCATTATTTGCATTATTTGACTTTTGCTTATTTGAAAATTATAATTTTTAAAACTTTTTTCTAGGGCTGGGGTTGCAGCTCATTGGTAGAGTGCTTGCCTAGCATGCATGAGTCACTGGGTTCTATCCTCAGCACCACATAAAAATGAAATAAATAAATAAAGGTATTGTGGCCATCTACAACTAAAAAAAATTATTTTAAAGTTAATTTCGTGTATAGATTTATAAAACACTTTACTGACCACCAAAAGAAATGATATTTTGGGGTTTGTTTGTTTTTGTCTCCATATAAATCAAATCTCCAGTTATTGAATACACCTGATTATATTTACCTCTCAATTTGAAGATAAATAAGCTATTCCCTTGTATTTTCCCTGTTCTTAGATTAATTATTTCTCCTCTTCCTTCTTGCTACTCTTTTCCACTCTGCATGATTGTTCTAACTATCTGTTTATCTAACCAGTGTCAAGTCTCTCACTCTTTCTAAGGAAAAGTCTTGCTTTTGGTGATAAAGGGTATCCAAAGAGTCTGTGTTGACAGTGGGATTGTACAGCCACCCTAGCTGCTGCAGCTGCTGAGAGGCAGGCCCAGGGAGGCTCCTGGAGAAGGGGCGGGGGTGGGTGTGGGCTGTTCTTTCCTGCTCCCCCTACCCTGGGGGCAGGGCAGTCTCTCTCAGACATGGGGTCTATTTAGCTAGCAGCTCTGGGGAGGAGCACTTCCAATGACCTTCATTGCTCAGGATGGTGGCAATTAAGAGTAGGGACTGAGGTGAGAGCATAGCCTTGCTGAAAGTGTGAAGGAGAAACCACCTAGGTGTTTTGGGTGAATGCTTTTCATATTTGGGCTCAAAAACAAGTTTAAGTGTTTATTTTTGGAGCTAACTCTGGCTGTTCTCACACTTGGCAAAGAGGGGTACATTTGGTTAAATATTCTACAACTTTCAAATTATTGATATAAGTGTCACAGATAGGAAGCTGGACTGGAGAGGCTGGAGGATTTATTCTGATCATGGAGCAGTTTACGGCGGAACTATTTTACAACTTCTCAAAACTCCCAAGTTTCTTCCTTTCTAAGTGCACAATAAAATAGACACTAGTATTGCTGTATATATATATGTGGCTGTATAGCCAACGTGATTCTGCAACTTGTACACTTGGAAAAAGGAGAAATTATACCCCATTTGATTTAAATGTATGATATGTTAAGATCATTGTATTGTCATGAGCAGCTAATAAAAAAAAAGAGGGAAAGTGAACAAGAGCTCATCATTCTTTTTAAACTCCTAGTCATATCTGAAAATCATGCCAGATACTTCTGTTTTTAATCCCTGATGGCTGATTTCCATATGTGTGACTGTTCTTTCTCTGTAGACCTGATTTATGTCCCACTCAGTAGCAGTTAGGAGACGAGCTTTTCCACAACCAATGAAGAGTAGTGCTCCCAGAGACTCGCTAATGTGGACTGTACAGAAACACTGGGTAGATTATATCCTGTTTACTAAATAGATAATGTAAGGAAGGAATCAAAACAGCTCGCCAGCCTGGTTGTTTTCTGTCTTACATTGAATAATAAGAAAAGCAGAAGAGAATTTTAAAATTAGAATTCTTGCAAATATTCTTCTTGAACTACTTACATGCAAATGTCATAGCCTAAATAGTGTAGAACAGCTGAGGAAGCAGTGATTAAAAAAAAAAAACAACTTCACATATATTTGTGGTGAAAACACCTAAAAGATATTCTCTTAGCAATTTTCAAAGCAATTAAAGTTTTAAAACCCAAATATTCATGATAAATATATGAAGTAAGAGCTAGGGACTTTGTTCTTTATGTCTTTGTGTGAGAAAGGATGGGGAGAAAGAGCCTAGCACCTAGTAATTAAAATTTCATGGTGATGCAGGACTCTCTCCTTGGTAGGTTGAGGCCACAGGGTTGCTTGAACCCATGAGTTTGAGAGCAGTGTGAGCAACAGAGCAAGGCCCTGACTCAAAAACCAAAAATAATTAAAAAGTTTATTTGGAGACCACCCAGACAACTGTCTTTACTGTGCCAGTAAATATTAACATTGATTTCTAAAACATCTTTTTTATAATTTAAAAAATAATCTTAGAGGGTTGTGGAACACATAAATATAGGGTCAAATGAGGTATATAATATGAAACATATCACATCTATTTGATCCAACACTTGTTTTCACAAGTATATTTTCTATTTAGATGTG